TCGGCTTCATCTTGTACCTCTGCAGTGTAGTAAAGACCTCTTCAAGGTCGAAGATATGATGATCCACTTGCTTGCTCTTAACAATAATGCCATCCACATATGCCTCGATGTTCTTCTTGATCAAGTTGGCAAAGACCTTATGATATGATCCGGGTTACGCCACTATTTATCAAGAATCCGAAGCACTTTGGAGAGAGAGTAGAGCCCAAGTTCGAGACTTCAAAGCGTTGATAAAGTTGGTCATTTACATGTTCGAGCAACGCAGCCTATAACATTGGAGACAACAAGCCAATGGTCAAGTAACATGTTGGGGACGGAAGCCGAAAAGAGTTGGAAAGCGTTGAAAACGAGAAATCAATTTGAAGGAAAAAATAAAACCTATGTGGTAAAATGCCATGCAACAGAGATTTGAAGGGGCCGCACAGTTTGAACTATGCGACCGCATAGATTTGTACTATGCAGTCGCATAGACCAAATCCGGGAAGAATATTTCCTTTTTTCGAAATTTCCTAGTTTAGTCAGAATTCTATTTTAATTCATATTTTGTAATCTTTTAAGAATTATTTCCGGTTTTAACTAGCTTCTAGGGTTTAGTATAAATAGGATTTTCTATCATTGTAACATCAACACTTTTGACATTATGAATTATTGAGATTTTTTTTCTCTTGTACTTGATGAACATTTGAACTTATCAAATATTATTATAATATTTGTGTTGTTCAACCATAGAACTTATCAAAGGATTAGGTACCCTTCGTGGCGATCGCAAATCATGATTCTTGTTTCCGCACATCAATGGGTCTAAGGTTTAATATACTTTAGGTTCTTGGTTCGAGAGGCTCGGGTCAGGATTCTATCGTCTACAACCCGGTTTTGGACTTTCTTGGGTCGAATTTCAATTTCGTTGTGAGTTACGTAGTGTTCTTTATTACGTGATTCACATCACATACTCTTATTTACTCATATTATTATTTATTGTTCGAATGTATATTAAGAAGTTAATGTATGGAGGGATGGATTTTGGGAGGACTGGGTTGAGTTGTAGCTAGGTTATGTCCCCGGTTCATTAATTTTTTTTTAGTGCCAAAAAAAATTCTCGTTTGTGTAATTTTAATTTTTTTTTTAACGTACTAACCCGATTTATAATGTGTTCCTAAATCCGTCTCTAGATATACATCTAACCCTTGTTTGATAGAAACTACAATTTAGATTTTTATCAAAGTCAAAGTCAGTAATTAATTTTAACCATATATTTTATATGTTCTGCAACTTTTTAAAAACATAATTCATTGACTTTTAACAAAATTTGCTAAAAATTTGATTTTAATATTCGTGAAACAAAGCATAGAAAAAAGTCTTTCCAAATTAGATTGAAGTTGGAAAAAGGGTCGATTGAATAGGCACCAAAAAAATAAAGAAAATAAAAATCGATGCCCGCAAGTAAAGTTAATTAGGGCTGGTTGTCCTATAAAATATGGACCACCACGAGGACACCAATATTGAGCTTGTTTGGTAGAGATTAAAATCGGATTAAAACTGAAAAACTAGCCGTTATTGTTGACTTTTATTAGATGAGTGAGACCCAATAACGGCTATATTTTCAATTTAAATTATAACAAACTCTAGTACCTGGACCATGTAAATTTCACAAATTCTCAAATTCGAGTGTCCAACATTGGTGAGTGCTAGAAATTCAAAATTTTGTACAAAGAGCCTAGAACTAGAAATTTGGGACGTTATGTTACGGTAAAATATTAGTCCCGTTTGTCACTCTTTAAAATAAAGTTCATTTATTCTCATGCTCGTTTTTAAGTATACATTCATAAAGTAAAATATTTTATTCATAAATTCAAAAAATTATTTTTCTCAATAACGACCATCAAAGAAGGGCTTAACTTCGTGTTCGATACAATTTGTTTCGAATATTTTAAATCGTTTATAAATTCACTAAAAATATATTAGGAGCACGTTTGGCGCCAAACACCGCCTCCTGATCCTCTCTTGTTTTGCTCTCTCAAATCTTCCTTATTTTAGCTAGAATCGTGTTTGACAAAGGGGACCTGGCATCCAATTTTGACGATTTTAGCTTAGAACCAACACAGCGGAGAACCTGAGGTAAAAGAACAAGAGGAGTTTCCCATACCCACTACGACAAAACCAGAGCAAGGGCAAAGGGGGCCAACGACTGCGGGGAAGAAGACGAAACGCCGTCGTTTAAAAGCACCAGCACCTCGTAAAAATGGCGGAAGCAATTTCTCCTATGGAAATTGATGACGAGAACAACAATCTAGATTCTCTCAAAACCCAAAGCAAAGGCAAAAGCGTCGTCGTTTTGACCACTCCTCCCGACACGAAAGCCACTCCCTGGGTCGAAAAGTACCGCCCGCAATCCCTGGACGACGTCGCTGCGCATCGTGATATCGTCGAGACTAGTAAATCACCTCCCTACCCCTCTCTTTTTGTTCATTTCTTGTTTATCTGTTTAATTTATTTGTGACATTGGATCGAACACTTGGTAGGCATACCATGGTACCAACCAACTTGTAGCATTGTGCTTCGTTTAGAAGTATTTCGTTTACCTTATATTTTATACTTCAGTATCTTATTCCACTGTCTCCCATTGCATTTCATTGGATGATTCATAGGCTGATAATGGTTACTTAAAAAAATTTCAGCTTTAACTAATAAGATTGAATTTTGAACTGTTTAAAATATGCTTCAAATGTTTTGAGCTTCTGTATCAAATGCTTCATGGTCAGTTTGGGCTAGCATTGAAGTTCTGTACACGTGTAAGTGTAATGTGTACACAAATCTAGGAGTTTTAGGTAGGAGGAAGGAAGGATAAAATTTTCCTTCTCTTGTTAGGGATAATGATAGGAAAATAAAAATAAATTGATTTTTGGACAATATTTTAATTAACATGTGATCCAAGTTCTGTTTTATATCACTCGGGAAAACTTTAGAATCACTTTTTCGTCTGATTTTCCATCCCTTCCAACCTTTTCCCTCGTGCCAAACAATGGAAAGATTGGTCGCCTTCAAATTTTCAGTATTCCATATCCTTCCCGCTTTCTTTTCTCAGTAGCAAATAGATCTTTTAGGTTTCTACAAGCGTTTTGGATTCTTATTGAGGTTTTTTTCTAAACAGTTGATAAACTTGCAAGCGGGAACAGGTTGCCCCATTTGCTGCTCTATGGACCACCTGGAACAGGAAAGACTTCCACAGTTCTGGCACTGGCTAGGAAGCTTTATGGGGCCCAGATGCACAACATGGTTCTGGAACTGAATGCTTCGGATGATCGTGGAATTGAAGTGGTGAGGCAGCAAATTCAGGACTTCGCAAGCACTCAGAGCATATCTTTTGGGTATATTGTGAAGCACAATCATTTTGTTTTATACACGTCGCTATTTGTGTGTATATATTGTAGTTTGTGTTTTTATACAATACATATGACACGAATAATATATATATATATATATAAAGCACAATTATATACTTGACTGGTGCAGGAACCTTTTGTTTTCACTCCTCACCTAAAAGTTACACTGAAAATTCTATAGGCAAGAAAATGTGATATTTTTTTACCTAAATATCACCTGGAGATTATTTAGAAAGCTAGCAATTATTTGTTTTCTTGAAATGGATTTAAAGTATTTTGAAACTCTATAATTTTACTAGTAGCATTAAGTATTGGATTTGGAATATAATTATGAGCTTGGAGGTTGTATATTTTGGCATGGGATTGCTTTGAGATGCTGGTGAGTATTAGTTACATTGACTTCTGGATTGATGATTGATAATCTGATATAGCTACTTTAAGGGTTTTAGCTATCTTTTTCACATGCTGGAGTTTCATGCCTCTGGTAGCATCAGTACATGTTTGCACTTGTATGTATATAGTCGTGTTTTTGTATATAATATATATTTTAAATTCGTATAACATACATTTGGCTTATATATAACAATTTGCTCGAACTGTTAATTTGATAATAGGTTTGTTTGATTTAAATAATAGCTGCAAGCTTTGGCATGTACAATAGGTAAAGACAATAACAATTTGCTCGAACTGTTAATTTGATGACGCACAATAGGTAAAGACAATAACAACAATTTGCTCAAACTGTTAATTACGACCTTGCGTATCTTTGGTGATATCAGTACACGTTTGCACTTGTATTTATATAGTTGTGTTTTTGTATATAATATATATTTTAAATTCATATAACATACATTGTGCTTATATATAACAATTTGCTCGAACTGTTAATTCGATAATAGGTTTGTTTGATTCAAATAATAACTACAATCTTTGGCATGCACAATAGGTAAAGACAATAACAACACTTTGTTCCCAATAAATTTCCAGTCAGTAATAGATTATGCAAATACAGTTTTAATTATTATGACATGTTTAAAACTTTTGTCTGATCCTGCTTAATCTGAATGAAAAGTTTACAAACTAGAGATTATCACACTCAGAAGTACATTAAGTAATAGTTGTGTTTTTGTAGATCGATGTGTTTTTTGAACATTTTATGCCTGCCCAATGATATCAATACTATTGCTGTGTTTCCCCAAAACTTCGATTTGTTGCTTGAATTCGTTACAGCTGATATGAGTAATGGTAAGTGGATTCAACACTGAAATCTTGGTTGCAACATTTTCCTAACTAGTTGTATGTTCTGCAGTGCAAAATCTGCTGTAAAATTGATCCTACTGGATGAGGCAGATGCCATGACTAAAGATGCACAATTTGCTCTTCGCCGAGGCAAGAATCTATTGCTTTTTGATTGACTAATTCAATTCCTTTTAATGGTTTAGCTTACACAGTCAAGCTAAATATATTTATTTTGCAGTGATTGAGAAATACACAAAAAATACTAGATTTGCTTTGATCTGTAACAATGTTAACAAGGTTATTCCGGCATTGCAATCAAGATGTACACGTTTTCGATTTGCTCCTCTTGATGGGGTTCACGTCACTGAGCGGCTTAAACATGTTATTAGTGCTGAAGGGTAAGTTCTTTGCTCTTGTTGGATCATAGATGTTTGGATGATTTCTGCTTATTCCCTAACATAATTTCATCTGTACAGGCTCGATGTACCTGAAAATGGTTTGAAGGCTGTTGTACGGCTTAGTAATGGTGACATGAGGAAGGCATTGAATATTTTGCAAGTTAGTATCTTGTTTGCATTGTTATATTAGTATGGTTATTCAGTTTAAGTTGTGTTCCAGAAATTAAAAAAAAAGAAATAAATAAAAATAAAAAGAGATAAGAAAGAATATAAGGTCAATGGGAGACTTGCTTTTTTTTGGTGGGCTGGGGGTTGTGGAAACCAAAGATATCATTTGACTACTTGTCATTTTTCAGTGATTTAAGTTCCTTTTGGTTTCAGTTGGCTTGTGTTAAATCTATGCGTTCTATGAGCTGCAGTATTTAACTATCATTATTCCTTGCTGGTTGTATGCAGTCAACACACATGGCTTCTCAGCAGATCTCGGAAGAAGCTGTGTACTTGTGCACTGGAAATCCTTTGCCTAAAGACATTGAACAGATTTCTTATTGGCTTCTTAATGAGCCCTTTGCCACTACCTCTAAACGTATTAATGCTGACCTTGTGCCTTTTTTTCATCTTTCTAATTGTACCTTTTTTCTGGTCTTCAAATTGTAATGCGCACTTAAAAATGTTCAGGAATTTCAGAAATCAAGACTAGGAAAGGATTAGCATTGGTGGACATTGTAAGAGAAGTAACCATGTAAGAGCTCATATTGTTCGTCAGTCACATCACAGCAGTTTCCTTATACTCATCTCTTTCCAATTGATGTCAGGTTTGTTTTCAAGATCAAGATGCCCCCAGAAGTTCGGGTCCAGTTGATTAATGAGCTGGCTGATATCGAGTATGTAACCTCTTTCTATGCTTAAGTTCTCATTTTGCCCTAGGATACAAAATGGTAACCTGTTAATTTTAAATTGGATTATTCTCCTTGTACATTATGGTGTACATAAGGGTGTCCATTATGGACACCCGGCACCACCTTATTGGATGGAGTGTTGGTCCCACCTGCACTCCATCCAATAGGATGGTGCCGGGTGTCCATTATGGACACCCTTATGTACACCATAATGTACATGTAGCAGAGCCCTTTTAAATTAAAGTAGTTTTATCAATGATCTTGGTAATGAGTTTGTGGAGTAGTCTATTTTTGAGAGAAAACTGTGTCAGCCTTGATACTCTGATCTCAATCATATACATACCAAGCATTTGATAAGTCGAGGACTAAACTGAAAGCTCTTCCACAGCTTTTGGACTGAGTAAATAAATTCTTAGGACAGGTCGACAGGATTGAGATCTGCGTTATAATACTCATATGCCATTAAATTGTAGCTTCTGGCGTGATTTACATAATCCACTAAATTAATGTAGGTCAAGGGTAAACTACTGCACCATCCTTAGTAAAGTTGCATTTTTTCAACCCTTGTCCCAATACTGCAGCGATGAAGCAACAATTTCATTTCCGAAAACTTGAGAGCATCCTACTTCATTGAGTAGAATGAAGACTAACGAACCATCACACAGCACTTCAATTTCATGATATTTCCTTTATGTGCATTATTATTTTCCCTTTGGTATTAAACTGCTTGGTACCTTCGCTTTGCAGATACAGGTTGACTTTTGCTTGCAATGATAAGTTGCAGCTCGGATCATTAACTGCTGCTTTTACACGAGCAAGAGCTTCACTGGTTGCTGCAGCAAAGTAATCACATCAAATTGGAGCTGGAATCATCAGCGTTTGTTCATTGATTTTAGTTAAGAATTTGGCGGTTGGGAAGGGTTAGGAATGTAAAGTTTGTGAGGTTTTCATTGCTGAATTCTGTATTGGGTAATGTCTAAGTGTTCACCTTTATGAGTAGTGATTAATGAACTTTTCCTGAGTCATATCAGATCCGTGTTGCTCCATTGTCACTTTCTGTGTTACTTGTGTTGTAAATGAAAGCATCCAGTCACCATGTTCGCAACCCCTTTACATTTTTCTCCCTTTTTTTTGCTTAATTAGGCATCATGGTCATTAGCCACACGACTGTTTTGCAGTTGCACATCGGGGAGATAGTCAACCAATCAGACCGTTCAATTGGGAACTGGAGATTGGGTAAATGGATGCAATGCTGAATATGTTAATCCTATCATATCTGAACTGAAACTAGAGGATTATGTCAGCCAAAATGCATATCGCATTTTGACAGCTACTCATTACCATATATACTTTGGGGGTAGAAGAAACAGTAGCCGTAGAAATAGAACTCCAAAATTTGAACACTTGCATTTGCAGCCCATTTTGCATTTATATTTCACCAACAGCAATGCTGCCAAGTATATAACTTACAAGAACAAAGTGCAACCTCCTTTTACCATTAATAGAGGAGCACTTTTTCCAAATATTTTGCTAGCCGCTACACACTTTCCTGTACAATAAGTTTCTATTAGAAACACAAAATGAAACTCTCTACCGCGGGAAGCCTTTCTCCCAAACTTTACTAACCCTGTTGGATTCTTGGCATTGTTTAACATTTTACAACTCAAGACAGCTTATCGGTAACTACAAAACTGCACATTTATGCGACATATTCACATAGAGGGAAAACAACTGGCTCCCCGTGTTATACCATATTGTAATGTGTCATTTGTCTGTTCCTCGCCCAGCTGGTGTTTAGTGCCTTTAGCCATAGTAACCTGATTTTTTCCTTTCACAAACTTTCATCTGACCTATTGGACCAAGTTATCTCAATTTCAAGTGTCCGGGAAGAACCATCTTTATTGCCGTCTTGGCTAAGGCTGAAAAGACCGCTGTATATTCCTTCAGTTACAACTTTGTCAATTTGAATTGTAACCCTCCCTAGAGTACTCTGAAATCAACAAGCAATTACATCATTCAAACTATGAAAACGGTATTGGGAAAGAAAGATTTTCACTCAACTATGTTACAATTTTATTATCAACCATAGTCAATGCTCTTTCAGAGTATGACGTGATGACAAGCAATTCAGAAAGTATCAAATTGATAGAATATCTTATTCTGCCTATTCCATGGAGAAGTGATATCACGAGTCAATAAATGATCGTGGTGTAACGTACAGGTTGATTGGTGTTGCTAATTACCTTTCCGAAAGTACTTTTGCTTTTGCACAATATATGCAACTTTTGCCCCTTTGGAGGCACATCAAAGGCCCACGTGAAGCCTTCTTTCCATTCTGGAGATGTACTGTGGTTCACGACCTGATAATCCATATATATAAAAAGATGATCAGGATTTCGAGCATATATCCAATAGCAGCATTCATGATCATCAACAATTGGCTTTTGCATCTGGTTGCATTTACTAGATGTCATCTAATGTTAACAAAATTTGTGACATTATAAAATTATGATGTGAAGGGCATGTTTGGCATGCAGTAATAGGCTGGATTGGACAGAACAATAGACAAAATTTGAACTTAATTTTTCATTTTTAATATTGTTAATACAGTACAATCCACCTTACAAACAAGCCACAAGCAAATAACTAAACTTGCCACATGTAGAGGTTAAGATATGAGAACCGTAACCTTAGTTTGCCGAGCAGGACCATTGCCTATAGTCAATCGACAAAAAGCATTTGTGCCTCCTACGGCTTGCTTCAAGTTGTTTGCACGCTTAATAGTGACCGTCAAACAACCCGGTAAACAATTCAAAAGGCTCTCTATTCTCTCATGAAAACTTGGGGGGCAAGTTTTCATGAGCATTTGAAGAATGGGAATGGCTTCGGCTGCAACCATAGCTTGGGATTTGGACACATCGATTGGCATGGTCGACCACGACTGTTTTAACAAGCACAACGTAGTCAGTACAGAATCCTGAGCAGACTCACTGCCGGACTTTAGTGCTGCTACCAAATGAGGAATGCACAGCGTAGCTGCTTCAGAAACATGGAGCTTATGAAAATTGGCAAATATAACATGTATCGTCCTCAAGACCTCTTCATTGACTGTGGCAGTGGACCACAATTCTTTCTCTAGAGCAGCTGCATATAGACACGTGTTGAAATTGTTACAAGAAATTCTTCACTTCATTTGGAAATAAATGGGTAAGAGCTTAAGATCACAGTTGAAGATACAAATAAATAAATAGATTCAACCCTTCAGTGACAGATTAAGCATTTAGATAAGGAGGCCATTATTCGCTAATCACAAATTAGAAAGAACCTGGCATTAAACTCCACTTTCTGGACAAGATAAAGCTAATGGGAGACATGTTCATGAAGAAGGCGAACGTTATAAGATGGGCTTGATAGTTCCTTACACAGTTATTATGAATGCATTACATCTATGTCCCCAAGATTTTTGCTCATTTTGTAATGATATTTAAGCATTTTCAGGTAATTTAGTATGTAGGACATTTATATGTGTCTGAGCATAATCAATCTAGTTACTGTGATCGTCAAAATGGAAGCAAACTGAAGTGCAAAGCAACAACAAGGACGAAGATTATCAAGAATGAATATTTTAACAGTAAGTTACCTGTCAAAGATCTGACAAGCTCATTTGATACATATTCCTGAAGCGTGTGATTCGAAAATAAAAATTTGATGAGTAGAGCTGCCTGTGCTGCAACCTCCGGATCAGGAGTCAGTAGCAGCTCTTGAATTACTAATACGCCACCTGCTTCTGCAACAGCTCTCCTATTGGTTCTGCTTCGAATGACAAAGTTTTGTAATGCACAAATTGCCACCATTTTCATTTCCTCTGTTGGCTCATCTTCTAGAATGCTTACCAATGCTCGGCAAGCAGAAACGGAATCACTAGATCGTGCTAGCCCTTCATGCTGGGAGAGGTCGCCAAGAGCAAGAGCTGCAAGAAGCCTACCTGTTTGTGATCTTGTTTGCGGGTCAAGCAAATACTGTGCTAGAGGGGCAATTGCATATTTTGAAGCCTTCGTTCCCCGTACCTGCGTATTATTGAAGAAAGCTTCGAGTAGTTTACCGGATGCTTCTTCACATTGATGAGATCTCAAAAGATCTAACAGAGCATCTATAGCACCAGCTTCAGCCATCAGTTCAGCACTTGAAGCATCGGTTTTTTCTTGAACAATGAGTGCATTGAGCGCTACTGTAATGGTGCTCTCAAGAGTCGAGTGCAACATTTTTACAAGCACAACAATGGGAACTTTAAAGTAGTAGTCGGTATTAGAATGAAGAAGATTGGAGAGAACTACTGCAGCAGATTCCCATAAGGCATCAGAAGGTTGAGGATCATCTTGAATAATAACCTTGGCAAGCTCAAAAATACCACCTGCATCAGCAACTGCCTTTGGCCAACTTAAGGAGATATTTTCCAATGCCTTAATTGCCGTTTGCTGTAAATTCAATATGCCAATTCCTGCAAGCTGAACTAGAGGAACCACTGCATTTTTTGTTGTGATATCTTGCTTAAAATGCTCTTGTGCTAGAAGGTGAGACAACAACTCTGTACCGAGCTGCTGGATAGCTTGAGATGGAGATTCAAGAAATGAAAGTAAAGGCTCGATGACTTGGCTAGGGGTAAGTTTCAAAGTTGCAAGGCTTTGAGGTTTCTCTAAAACATTAACAAGGGATTGTAAGGCACTATGCTGGCCCCAGAGACCGAAATCTCTCCGAAGCAATACCATAAACAGAGGTTCTAATATTTTTGCAGCAGCTGAGCTTTTTGCGATTGCACTGCTGTTTGTCAAGATTCGGAAAAGTTCAGCAATAGTGGAACACAGTGAATTGGAAGCTGTGGGGAGTAGCTGGAGACAATTTTCAATTATTCCGGCATTGACCATATCCAACTTTAGTGGGGTTCGGTCTTTTCCCAGTTTAATGAGGGCACATATGCTAGCTTCGATGAGCCGATCATTTGATCTAGAAACTAGACCAACAAGAAGACCAATGACATCGTGAGCTGATAAAATCTCTGCTTGTTGTTCGTCATCCAATAATCTCTCAAAAGCACACACCCCAGATTCCACTGAGATCTGTTTATCCGACTGCATGAGTGATATAAGAGGTTCTATACAGTCAGATGCAATTGGCATTTCTCTGAATTTTGAATTACCAAAGAGTACGTAACATAATTCTGCAGCATCACTCTTCAATTCCAAAGTAGCAGAAGAGGACAGGATTCTACGCAAACTCTCAAGAGGATTGCCTTCCACTTCACCCAGCATAGCTGCTTTTGCATTATTTTCTGAAGTCAACTTAATCAAGGCACTTAGAGCAGCCTGTAGTTCACTCTCCGAAGCAGTATTGAGCATGTCGGCCAAAGGCTGAATTGCCTGCATGGATACTTCAGAATCTCTGATGGTCTCGGCATCAAACAGTTCACTTAAGGCTCTAGCAGAACTCAATCTTGCACTTCTTGATCCCAAATGAAGGACTGCAATGAGTTGATTCACGCAACTAAATGCTGCTTCATATCGTACAAGATCCGGGTTGCTAAACAATATTCTCAATAATTCAGATATAGTTGCCTCAACTAAGTCTTGAGGGCTCAAAGATAAGTACTTGGTAAGAGCATCCAGTGCTCCAGCTTCGGCCATGAGTAATTTATTGGTATCATTTACATCAGCAATTTGAGCCAAGAGATGAACAGAAAATGGCGGAGCACCTGGTCTATCGGGCATTGGTCTTAGCATATCCACAAGCAAAGGAATTGTCTTGCGAGCAACAGAACCAACTCGCACATCTTCAATTTGGAAAAGGCTTTCCAGAACTACTTGGTCTGGATTCCTCGACAAAGAAAATTCTTCAGACAAGGCAATAAGATTGGGAATATCTGATTCTACGTGACCAATTAGGCTTATTAACCCAGCTACTGCACCAGAGTTTGCAATAGCAAGATTTGTTCCCCTATTTCCATGGCAAACAAGACTGGCCATTGCCTGAGCAGCAAAGAATCTGTCAATAATTTCTTCCGACTTCAGTAGAAGTGAAAGTGATGGTATAAAGTGCATGGCTGTAGGAGAAGAGACAACATTGGCATCCTGGAAAAGTATAGCCACAAGAAGGCAACCAAGCCATATGCCCTCTGTATCCTGAAACTCTTCCTGTAAAAATGTGCTTTGTTTCAGCAATGAAATTCATAATAGTTTTGATATAATTGAAAGGACAACAAAGCAAGTTATTTCTATTGTCGAATGAAACTTAATAATAAGAAGTTCAGATCATAAAACTTACAGAAGTTCATTAACTTAATAATAAGAAGAAAACAATAACAAAACTTAAATGATCGTTAGCTAGACACATATACAGCTTGAAACAATAATAGAAAAGGAAACCGGCTGTATATCCTACCTCAGTATTGGAAGTGTGTCTTGCAAGCTTGTCAGAAAGCACTTCGAGTCCCCCAGCTTCCATTACGTTGATTTTGTTCTTTGGGTGAAAGGAAGAAATTATTGATAGCAGCCACAAGGCAACACTACCTCCCAATACAGTTGCTGGATCAGGGATGTCAAAACCATCACCATCCAGAAAAGCTGAACTATCTCTAAAACCTCTGGGGGTTCTGACTTCAATTTCAAGAGAAGAATTAGTAGAATTTTGCTTAATCATATCAACTAATGCATAAATAAGAGGTTTCAAGTATCCAGATGCCTCAAGTGCATCCATCGACCAGATTCTATGTTCCTTGGCAACACAAATTAAAATCACTATACCTCCAACTCTTACTTCTAGACTGCTAGAATTCATCATTCTATCAGCTAACACACCAACTGATCGTGAATTTGAAACCAAGAGGTCACTTAGAATGACCGGTTGATCCCCACAAAACCTAGATAAAATTTCTATTGCTTTATCTTGAACTGAGGGAGGTCCCTCACACAGGCAGTGCACCAGAGGCTCTAAGCTTGATGGGTGGGCAGACCATGGTGGATACATAGAGTTCACGCCATGCTTCATTCGAGACAGTAGAGAAACAACTTCTAGAGCATCAGCAGCATCATAGCCATCCATATCCATTGCATTTAAGGAATCAACAACTGCCTGAACAGCGAATCGAAACTGAGCACTTCCTGTCAGTACATCACCTACCGGAAAATGCTTCAATAATTGATGAAGGGCACGTGATGCACTCTTCTTACCCTCTAATGATCCTTCTCCTAGAACTCTTGTTATGGCTGAAACAATATCTTCTGCCAATGATTCTGCAGCTATTTGAGGATCTGACAACAAATTAGCCAAGGCATCCATTGCAGTCTCAGCAGACTCTATGGATGATGTTTTGGCCAACTTGATTAAAGGCCTGACATCACCTTCTGCAATACAAGACATCTTATTTGTTGTCTTAGTCTGGGTAGGACGGGATAAAGCACCCAATGCTCGAGCTGACTGTGTCACAATACCTTGAGTTTTGCTAGTTAAGAGTTTCATACATGAATTCACAACTTCATCTGTTGCAAGGCTATCACAGATATCATGACGTGTACTGAATAGATCAGCCAAGACAGATGCTGCATGCTCTTGGGCATTTTCATTTGATGAATTGAGAACCTGGACAAGTGACCTCAGCCCTTTATTAGCAGCAGTGCCCTTATTCACAAGGTCAACATGAGATGCCATGGAAAGCACATGACCCAAAACTTTGACGACGTCAGCCTTAGACCTTGGTGAGTCTCCCAAGAGCAGAGCTAGTAATTGATTTATGGTAGCTGAATCAGCAGTCTTAATTAGCTTTGTTAGAGCCCTAGCTGAGGCCTCTTGCCCCATTGGTCCACCATTCTTTAGAAGCCACAAGAGTGCTGGGATGGCTCCTGCACTTTCAACACAGGCACGGATATCGTCACTATGACAGCACAAGTTCCACAAAATATGTGCTGCATCTTCCCTCGCCTTTTGGGATCCAACTTCTAATAAATGGACAAGGGGAGGAATTCCACCGGCTGCAGTGATTGCCCACTTGCTGTCATCAACTTGTTCAGTCAGAATTGCAAGCATTTCAACTGCATACTCTTGATGCTGTTCACTGGACAAACCCAGAGACGAGATAAGTAACTGAATTCCTTCTCTCTTTCCTATGGCTTCCCAAACACTTGCTCCTTCAGTGCACAAGCATATCAGAGAAAGTATCAAATACTCCTGTGCATCACCATTAGCCATCGTTATGAGCCCAACAAGCACCCTTTTTGCCTCTGGTTGATTGATTGTATCTGATAAATGAGCATTGCCATATAGGCTGGCCATAGCTTCAAGGAGGCGTTCATGAACCAGTTTATCATCTGTAGGTTTTAGAAGCCTCACTAAAATACTTTCAATTTTTGTTGCATCAAATGATTCTTCATCAACATTCTGATTGAAGACCATAAGAGAATATGCAAGTGCTCCAATTGTATCTGTAACCGGAGCAGCTAATCTTGGGGACTGGGAAAGCTCTCCAAGATAGAGTATTAATGCAGACATCCCACCACAAATATTTGCTAATGTTTTTGTTGCATGCCGCTGAAGTGCCTGCCCTCCCTCTCCTTGCATACCTTCTTTGGAAGGAGCAACTACAGCTCTAATAAGTACTGGCATGCCTTGGGCATCAACGATTGCTTTCTTAGCTTTGGTTGATTTTGAAGAAATAGCCTCCAAAGCTTCGACAGAACTGGCTCGCACAGAAACATCCTTCTGCTCACCCAAGAGCCCGAGCAAAGCTTTGATTGCACCTGAATCAATTATTTTTGGGATGCTATCAGGGAAAGCCAACATCAGGCGGGCCAAGAGAGAAGCAGCATTGGATTGAGCAGCAGCATTGTCAGAAAAGAGTAGTCCCACTATGATATCCACCCCACCACTATCAAGAGTTGCTCTCCAGTGCCCCTCTTTATCGCCACAAAGATTTCTCAATGCCCCTGTCACAAATCTTTCAACCACTTTGTCTTGCTTGTTTTTCGGATTTAACTGCTCCCACAAGGTGGGCACTACACCTTCTGTAATAAATATTTTCATGCCCACGTGATCATCTGAAAGTCCACCAGAGGACACTTCATATAAAGCCTCTGCAGCTGCCTTCCTAGCATCAATTGAATCTGACTTCAAAAGCGAGAGTAAAGGTGGGATGCATCCACCTAGAAGTACCTTCACCCGCAAATCGTCATCCTTACATAGGACACCAAGCGTTGCAGCAACATTTATTTTTGCCAGCAGACTACCATTCCTAAGAATGGATATGAACAATGACATTGCTTGGCTATGTGAGCCAATAAGAGCCCGTGCTTCGTTTCTTGCTTTAGCAATACCTAGCAAATGTGCCGTGATAAGTTCTTTTTCAGCTGGAGAAGACAAAGTGTGTAGCTGCTCAATGAATTTAGCAACCCTTGATGTTGTCCTCTCCGGATCATCCATTTCTGTACTTCCATTTGATTCCCTGGGGGTAAAACAATTAATCATTTAGCCGGATGAGAAATATTTTACTCTAAACACTTTACACGAGACATACTGCATCAAGTGTTTCTACCAATATTATGTAGCAAAACATCAAATTGTTCTTTAAATTTAAATGTAATTTAATTCTTAAGTTTCACACAAGCACTATTACCATGTCAATTAGTTCAATAAGAGTTTTTGGTAGATAATGTATTTTCCTTTGAAAACACAATTAAACGAAGCAAAACAAGAACACAAACTGATTTATGTGGTTATGAAGCCAATCAATTATGATGAGAGAACCACATAGGATCACAAGTTAAAAGCTAATGCACAATATGGATCAACAGATGTTAACGTGTACACTTACTTAGTATTCTGAGATGAAGATGAAGCTTTTCGGCCCCTTCTTTCAGGGGAGGATGACATCGACATTTGCAAAATGGCTCTACTTTTTGAACTCTATTCTCAGCCTCCTGCAGATTACAATTAGTTAATTCTCCATTCTCTCTACTAGCACCCTAATACCTGTAAATGAAATTCAAAACCCCTAATAGACTTCCCCCTTCTAACTCATACTTCAAAAAGCACGAACTTTACATGTCATCTCAAAACCCTTAAACACCGATTCCGTATTGTGCATCGAAATAGCCAAAAACAATTGTAAAAATTAGGGGATCCATTTTATAATACTAGAAAAAAAAAAATTAAAAAAAAATCATAATAACGCTGCTGGATCTACCTCAATAGAGTTCTCCAAAATTGAATTTTTCCCACCTCAAATCCTTCACGGCCTCAATCTCACATACAAATGTGCATATATGCATATATACAGAAGCACTGCACAACGATTCAAGCCAATGGCACAATCAAACTGTAGCTAACCCTGTATAACCACAAAACTTCAAAATTGATCTCATCTCAAATCACAATTTCCCCAAATCTACATGCATATATTCGATCAAATAATATAGCTGTAGATGCATATACGGATACTGTACAAATGTACCTGCATGTCAATGCCGTATACATCAACAAGTTAAATTAATATAAAATTAGGAAAATTACACGATAGTTGATTATAAAAACATCTAAATAATGATATGCAGATCGGATCAGGAGATTAATTTTTTTTTTTTTTTTATATCCAAACAAACAAATCCAAGCTGAAATTGAAAACTAAATATTCTCGACTAATTATTAGTCAAATCCGAATAAAAAAGGAGAAGATTGAACTTGAAAAATTAACCGTTTCAAAAGAATATCGTCAATGGAGGTACTTACAAATGGAGTATAAAGAGAGTATTTTTCGAAGTAGAGAGAAAAAAATGATTTTTTTTTTTTTTTGGAGAAGTTAAGGTTACTGCTTCTATTTAATTCCTTTTTTTTTTTTTTTGGGTATGGATATTCATTACTCTTTAATTATTGATACTTTTGATAGTACTTAAAGTTAAAAGTGACCATTTGATTACCTTTTTTTACTCAAAAGTAAAAAATTTGAATGCTTTTAAATTGAGCCAAAAATTTCATTTTACTAAAGTTTAACATAAATAAGTTGATTTTAGGGTAAATCGACTAATTTTAAATTGCGAACGAGATGATTTTGATGAATTCAATGATTTCCAAGTTTTTAGTTTTGACTTACAAAATACATTTTCGGTTGAACCAGTTCGTTTGGTTTGATTATAAACTAACGTCAATTATATTATCATCGAAAAATGAATTTTGATACTTCAAAAAACAAAATTGGAAGTGATAGCAATGGAAAATGTCAAGTAAATCGACTAGTTTTAATTGCGAACAAGATGATTTTGACGAATTCAACGATTTCTAAGTTTTCAGTTTTGACTTACAAATAAATTTCGGTTTAACCAGTTCGTCCGATTTGATTCTAAAATAACGTCAATTATATTATCATCGAAAAATAAATTTCGATACTTGAACAAAACAAAATTGGAAGTGACAGCAGTGGAAAATGTCAATTGGCCATTAAATATAATCAAGAAAACAATTATTGGGATTGACGTATTGTTTTTTCTTTCTTCACAAATTACTATCTTAACCTTCTGTTTTGCTAGTGCCAGAGCTCACTCTAATCTCATAATTCATCACTTATTGTCTTGTCACCAAGAAACAGACAAAAAAGTTGGGTGGACATATAAAAAACAGTTGAGTTGAATAATTATGTATGGTCTTCGATTAGATCTATAATGTTAGGTAGTCGGCAGTGAATCTTCTACTGCTGCTCTCTGTGACACTCAGGCCCAGTTGGCATTATGTTGTTTTTTCTTTTAATATCGCATTTTTCTTAAAATTAATAATTTATCCGAGACGAACAAGACATGATGTTCGATCCCACAAGTTGTTTTTTCCTTAATTCACCTTCAACCAACGTTGTGCTAGTCTCGACTACTTGAATCTTAAACATTAAATAAATTTTAGGTTCATTGCAAGTGATGATATATTGATATGGACCGACCTACGATTGTGAAATTCACAATCGAAGTGTAGTAAAATTTAATTTTTGTGGAGGAACGCGAAAAACACACTTTCTGAGTTTTGAAGCTCAAGGTGGATAATCTCTATACGGCCCAAACACGTGGAAGGCCCATTTAGAAACTCAATACATTAGTAAAGCCCATCAAAAAGTTGGGAGTAATGGTCCAACAAAAAATCAGTCCATTAAATCCATGGCAATGAAGCCAACGATCCATATGTCATGGACTAGTGTGATGGGAATCCAATTAATTTCTCGAAGAAGAGAGTAAGGGAGTGATTTTTTGATAGACGATTCTCAAGCATCAAATCATGGAAAAATCGATTGTCATTTATCCCCATTTCTTTAATAATTACGACTGATGACATTATCGAACACCAAATTATCAAAATACAATTGTCATTTATACATATTTCTCGAACAACCTTCTGTTGGAGAGTTTGTATAGAAATATGAATTTTTTGAATATTGTTTGTCCCGCATATGATAGAAATAGAAAAAGATACTTGTTTATAAGTGTGAAAATAATATACTTAATAAGTTGGATAAAAGACTATACAAATGGGCTTTGGGCTTGAACCATATGATTTGGGATTGATTGAGCTCCTTGTTAAGCTATATAAACAGTGAAAATTACACAATGTTTCAAGATCCAAATTCAAAAATCAGGGTGAAAGTTTAATTGTTCAAAAATCAGATATTTGATATTTAATATTAAATATTATATATACAAATTTCGCAGTCAAACCCTAAAAATCATTGACAACTCTCATCTCCCTCTGTCTTTCTCTTCACGTCGCCTCTATCTCTCTCTCACCTCTCCACCATCTCCTCTCGCCGTCGCTCTCTTCCTCTCTCTCCTCCTGGAATCCTCCTCTCTCCTCGTTGTCTCTCCTCTCGTCATCATCAAGCGCCGGCACGGCTGACGGCCGACCGATCTTTTCCTCCTCTTTGCTTATGGCACATCGTGGCTGAACTTGTTAGTCTACAGGCTGCTACAGTTCTACCAACCATGGAGGGTGGCTAGATAGGTCAGTGAATCCGAACACAAATTGGGTAGAAGATCAGTCAAATGGGAATATGTCCTCCTCGTCGGTTAGATATCTTGATTGTTGGCTGAATAATAAGCATTTTTCGTTGCCTTCAACCCGCCATCAATTTCACTATTGTCGGTAGCATTTGGGTAGTGGGTATTGTAATTTCTTGATCAGCAACGATGAGTGGAGGGGATGTGTGGGAGAAAATGGGTGGTTTGTAAGTTTTTGAGGGTAGATTTGGTAGTTGCAAAATCTGTAATGCACACTGATAATTGATGGAATGCATAGCTTTTGAATTGTTTCTTTATTTTTTATTGTTCAAATCCAATTTCATCAAAAAGGGCAGGGTGTTAAATAGGTACTCAGTCTTCCTAATAGAGCCGTACAAGTTAACATTTATTCATAGTTAAAATGAATAAATGTGGGTGGTACCTGGTGGTGATTACGTGAGTGGTCACAGAAGTCGGTGGTGGTAAAAAAAAAAAAAAAATCTAATTGTGACCTTAAAATTTAACTAGTGGCAGTGGTGAAGTGGTGGTCACGAAGTTGGTGATGGTAACGAGGGTGGTCACAGAAGTCGGTGGTAGTCACGAGGGTGGTTACAGATCTGATTGGCGGTGACCTTAAAATTGTGACTAAAAATTAATCTGTGCGGGGTTGGTCATAGAAATTGGTGGTGGTCATAAAAAAAAAAAAAAAATCTA